GTGGTGAACGTGGGATGTTTGAATTGGTTGAGTTCAAGTTTGAAGTCTACGTGTGAAATAATTTTGGATTAGAATTTAATGGAATTTTGAGAGGTAGTTTGACATGAAGTAACAATATTGGCTAATAGAACAGAGTCGGATCCTATGCAACGCATTTGTTAGAAATATTGGAGGATCTTGTGAGTGTAGAAGGTTTGAATTGGTTGAGTTCAAGTTCGAGGTCTAAGTGTGTAATAATTTTGGATTGGAATGTAATGGGATTTTGATGGGTAGTTTGATATCATGTAGCAATGTTGGTTGATAGAATACAGTCGGATCCTATGCAACACGTTTATAGAAGAGATTGAAGGATCTTATGAACATGGAAGGTATAAATTGGTTGAGTTCAAGTTTGAAGTCTGCGTGTGAAATAATTTTGGATTAGAATTTAATGGAATTTTGAGAGGTAGTTTGATATGAAGTAACAATATTGGCTGATAGAACAGAGTCGGATTCTATGCAACGTGTTCGTTGCAAAATTGGAGGATGTGGTGAACGTGGGATGTTTGAATTGGTTGAGTTCAAATTTGAGGTCTACGTGTGTAATGATTTTGGATTAAAATTTAATTGAATTTTGATAGTTGGTCTGAAATCATGTAGCAATGTTGGCTGGTAGAACAGAGTCGGATTCTATGCAATGTGTTCGTTGCAAAATTGGAGGATGTGGTGAACGTGGGATGTTTGAATTGGTTGAGTTCAAGTTTGAGGTCTACGTGTGTAATAATTTTGCATTACAATGTAATGGAATTTCGATAGGTAGTTTGATATGAAGTACCAGTGTTGGTTGATAGAACAGTGAGGGATTCTGAACGCAGTGTTTAATGAAGGAATTGGAAATCCCGAGGAACCTGGAGGGTTTGAATTGGATGCGTTCAAGCTTGGCGTCTACGTGCATAATGAATTACAATGTAACAGGATTTTGGTAGGTAATTCCAAATGCTATAACATGGTCGTCGATCCACTGTGTCTATTAGGCTTACTTTTGAATACGATGAACGTGGGAAATTTGGAACTGTTTGAGTTCAAGTTTGAGCTCTATGTAACTTTGGATTAAAATATAATAAAACTGCAATAAGTAACTTTAAATGCCGTAGCACAAATTACAGTACCCTTAGCTTCTATAAATCATATCCATCGAAGTAATTGAAAATCTAGGGAACATGGAAGTCAAACGAATTCGATTAAAATTTGCTATCTACATAGTATTATTATTTTCATAATTTTAAGTTAAAGTATACCTCCTATATGAACCAGAAAAATGTGGAAATTTGACAATTCGAATTATCATATACACGAATTTCTAACTATTATAATTTTATATGAAACAGTCATACGTGCGATTCGAAATTTTCGATGCGTTTGTCACAATCCGATCGTCCCCGAGGATTCATAAAAATGGTGTAATTGCGGGGAATCTATTTAGTAATTGTCGAGAAGCGTGACGTCTTTGAGAAGCTTCCATGGAAAAATGTAGGAAAAAAATGTCATCGTCTGTCGCTTTACCGCCTCCGTTTTACCCAGAAAGAACGTTTATTTCCTTTAGGAAGTGACTCTCGTCGCTAACGAAGCAGCACCTCGATGCCCCTCCGATCTAATGGGGTTTCACGCAGAATTACGAGATAGGATGAAGGGAGTCGGTGAAAGGAAACGTCATCGGCGATTTCAGGTGCGAAGTAAACGAGGACACGGGGCGACTTTCAGGTTGGGATCGTCGTGTCTCGTGGATGGGGCCATCAGGAGCGCCAGAGATGAGCACACAGTCAAGCGATCACGCGACTAATTGATCCGAGATCCGACGATATCTATTGACAATAATTATCCTGCTACAGAAACACCTGGAAACGCGATTAGACCTCCCTTTTATCTAAATTTTCCACAATCTTACGGTTTAAACGAGGACTATCTCCGAGCATATGCAAATATCGTGCACACGGTGGACACGATCGGCCGAGCGATGATCGATGACGGATTAACTCGGAGAAGGCTGAATCAAGGAAAACCTCTATTATCAGGAAGATTCGCGGAACGCGTTAATAACAAATAAGCGAGCGCGTAACTATGCAAATGACTCATTGGGCCAGGCTAAGTTTGCCGGAACGCGACCACCGCTCGATGGAATAGGATATTCCGCTGAAAGAATCGACGTAAAGCGCTCATTGTCATTGTCATCGTGGAGCATTCGCTCGATACGCTCGTTATCATCGCAATCTCGACTGCAATTAATCCACGCTGTTGCACGACCGGCTAGATATCGTAATTATTACTATTATCGTCATCTTCTCTATTATTAGCGTTGTTCCACGTTGTTATGTCTGCGAGAGCTCGCGCGTGTACGTAGCCACTCACACGCGTGCACGTGTGTACCCTAGCTCTGACGTAGTCGAAAAGTCACGAGCCGACTTTGCCGCTTATTAATTGCACGTCTCGCGAGACGAAGCTGCTTCCTCGTCGATGCTGCATGCAAAAGTCTCTCGCTCGGACTGTGTGTGTGTGCACAGTGCCACCGGATTAACAAACGTTCCAGCCAGCCATCCGATGATAATTAACATGGTCGCGCGTACCGCCAGGCTAATGACGCACACGCCTCACCTGTGCGGGATGCCCGCGACGGAAAACTTGCTCTCGCAAACGGATTTATTTATAAAAACACATTAATGTACCGCTGATTCTCACGGAGGAGGCGAACCGGCTAACGACGTGTCTTCTGTTCCAAGCCACGGAAAAAGCGTTCGCGTGCCAACCACGGAACGTTCGTGCAGCTGCGAGGACCGAGCCTCTTCCCAGACGACATACCACCGATGCACTGTCCTCAGCATCTGATCGTAGGACGCGTAACAGCCACCTAGACACTCGTCTACGTACGCCGAGAACCAGCTACTACCCTCCACCTCGACGAATCTTCGCAGCAACTGGTCGATTTAGGCTTACGAGAAAGGAAGAAGGATCGTTTAGAAATAATTGACAGACAGATCTAACCTCGAGGAAAGTGGTCGGTCGGATCGGGTTAGTGGATCCGTTTGGCCTGGACGGCACGAGGAAAATGGAATCGCAGCATCCGTTTGGAGAACGATGTCGAACGATCTGTGCCAGATGGTATCGCGATGGTGCACCTGTGAGTGGCGCGGTTGGAGGAGCCGCGGAACGTGCCGGTGTAGCATCGAGCTTCCAGCAAGCTGATCGTGAGGCGAAGTCGAGATCGCTTCGTTTAGATGCCCGGCTTCTACGACGCGGGAAAGTGGGGATAAACCGATGGAAGGCGTTTAGTGGGGATAGCTGGCCGCTCGCGGGGAGTTATGAATGAGTCGTGGAGTCCTGACCCACGAGTGTCACGTGGTGGGGGTGGCGGTAGTGGTGAGCGTGAAGTAAAGGGGAGGGATGCGGTCGGTGGCAGGGGGCGGGAGAGGGCGGCGGAGGCGGAGGAGCAAAAGGAAAAGGAGGCCGGGGGAAGAAAGAGGAATAGAAAAGGAGCAAGGAGTAATGAGAGGAGAGCGAGAGGGATTGTCGATGGTACGGAGAGAGAAAAGGAGAGAGAGAGAGAGAGATAGAGAGAAAAGCGAGCGATGAAGGAAGGGCAAGGATGAGTAGTGGGGGTAGTTAGGATTGACCGAAAGCGGGGTGTGGGCCACGTGCTTCGGTGGCTTTACAATCGTATATAGGCACCGGTCGACCGAGTGGCCACTACCATACACTGATAGTCATACACTGGAGCCGCACGAAATAAAAGAGGAAAAGAACGTCGGTGGAGGAAGAAGAAGGAAAAGAGGAAAGAAAGGAAGAGGAAAGAGAACGAAAGAGAATACAATAGATAGAGAGGGAACGGGCAAGAGAAACGACCTACCGACAAGCAAGGCAGACAGACAGAAGTCCACCTTCCACTTCTCCATTCCCTTACGCAGGTTCACTCCTACTATAACGACGAACGAACAGCCTGCCTCTGCTCGCTCGCCTGCCTATAGCTGGCTTCTCCTTCTCTGTTTCTATACCTACCTACCTACCTACCTTCTCTGCGCCGTGGTTAACTCGGACAGAGGCGAGAGGTGATACACTCGATACACTCAGCCGGACGAGGGCGACGAAGACCTCAGTCACCTCCTGACATTCGGTATGGTACGACCTTACCCCACTGGCGTGTGACTAAGAAGGTATCGCCGAAAGGAGGGTTGAGAACGCCGAGAGGATCCTGCAGACGCACCGGGGACCAAAGACAGCCCGGTGAAAGGGATAATCACCGAACACAAGAGACAGCCAGGGGAAAACTGAGAAAAAAAGGAACGCCGAACCGGAGGAAAAGAAAGCGCCGCCGCTGTTACCACCGCCACCGCACGGACCACCCTTAACGGTGTACCAAAGCCGTTGATTCTTTTTCCTTTCCACGCGAACCCCCCCGCCACATTCTTAAGCACCTACCGCTCCCCTCCTCCCACCTTCCTCTGAGACAGCTCTCGTAACCCCCTTCCCCCCTCGTATAAGAATCAGTGCATCGCGTGTGTCGGGACCAGTGCCAAACGGGTTGTGATTCTGTGCGGACAGTTTTTCAAGTGTGATCACTACCGGTAGCCTAAACCACCGGCGAGTCCTGTATGATCTAACCGAGGAGTGGACATCGCATATCCCGTCTTCCGTTATTCGCTTCTCTCTCTCTCTCTCTCTCTCTCTCTCTCTGTGTTTCCCTGTTTTCCTCCGTTTTTCCTCTCCTTCGATCGAAAACATCGGACCACATCGTACAAACGTTTCACACGGAGAATATAATAACAGTGCGTTCTCCTTCTAACGCGAATCGTAGCCATCGACTACGTAAATACACGCTCGATGACAGGGTACCACTGACCCGCGCCTCCACGCAGTACGGTATACATTGGTGCGGAGACACGCGAGGATAGATACGTCTCGCTTGCTCCTTGGCTGCCACGCGCCACCGCGAGTGCCTGCGTGCGACGAGAGTGATCAAGTGCTATGCGAATATGACAGTTGCGGAGGATACGACGATCGCTTACGATCGACAAATGACAATGGAGGCCATTCTAGTTCGTGACCAAAGGACCACTTCCCACAGAGTTCTGGACCACCGTAGCTCTAGCAGCAGCCTGTCCAACGCGTCTAGCAACATGACAGCGTCATCGAAGCTGTACAAGACTATCCTAGATGCAAACCCGAGATACGCGACGGTAATAGACCCGAGAATAAATAGAAACGATCACGACAAGAGACACTTTCCATGTGACTCGTGCCTCGTACCTGCTTCTTACGACGATCGAGGGATACGATCGAGACACAACGCATCCGTCACCGCGACCACGTGGCTGAGTAAGTCGATCTACTGACTATGGAACGCGATGATGTTTCCGTGCCAGCGATTCCCGAGGAAACACTCGCGATAACTCTCGCCCCTCTTCCTTCTGCTCTTTCTTTTTCTTCCTCCCATTCGTCGTTTTCTTAGATCCTATTTCATGCGAGCTGCCACAGCTCGTGACACGTTTAGATCCCCTTCGTTTCCTCTCTGTTTCGTCAAAGTGTCAGTCTTTGGTACCCCCGGTAAGGAGAAATATCAGGACGAGGTTAGAAAATTCAAAAACATCGCGAATTTACCCAACTAGTCCAATATGCTTCCTGATATGCCGCGTTATCTTGACAGAATGTTGCTTGTCAACGGAAAAATTGCATCCTCTTTCCGGCTGCAACGTGTTCCCCGAATTGATACAGATGTACGTTCTCATCGCTGTTGTCATCGTGACCACCGTTTACAAATTTCTTCATCGATTTACTCGTTCGAGAGTCGATACAATGTCTCGAAATCTCCTATTACTCCGTAATCACCTTTCCCGGGCCCCAGAGGTGTCGGAGTAGACGCTTAATCGGTCATAACGTTAGAAATTCCAGCGTTCGTTATTTATTCGAAACGGCTGGATTAATTGGCAGATAATGAATGCCG